GGTGCTGAGGAATCAAACCCAGGGCCTCAGGCATGCAAGGCAAGCACTCTACCACTGAGCCACCTTCCTAGCCCTATTTAATTTTTTGTTGGTCATGGAGCTTGAACTCTGGGCCTGGGCACTCTTCAGCTCAAGGCTAGCATTCTACCACTTGAGCCACAGCACCACTTCTGGCTTTTTCTGTGTATGTGGTACTGAGGAATCACACCCAGGGCCTCATGCATGCAAGGCAAGCACTCTACCACTGAGCCACCTTCCCAGCCCCAGATCTCAGTTTTTTAAGTAGTAAGGATAAGGCATGAGCCACCAGTACTCAGCTCATAAGAAGTTTTTAAAGTGTGGGTAGATACTTTCTCTATTTAAAATTCTGTTGAATTTTTTAAAAAAGTAAGTGTGAAGCAAGAATTGAAACTCAGGCACTCTAGCCCTGGAATGCACAGTGGCACAAACACAAAAGACAAGTCACACCTTCCCTCTAGGGATAAAAGGGAGTGTAATGAGGATTCTGACAAATAGAAGGTATGGTGCAACTAAAAGGGTCAGGTGCTCTTAAGTCTAGCTAATGGCAACTGTGTAAGAATAAAGGCACCGGAGATTACAAGTTTTTTGTTGTTGTTGGGTTTATTTTTTGGTCGTGGGCCCTGAACTCTGGGCCTGGACGCTGTCCCTCAGCTCTTCAGCTCAAGGCTGGCACTCTACCACTTGAGCCATAACACTACTTCCAGCTTTTTCTGCTTATGTGGTACTGAGGAATCACACCCAGGGCCTCATGCATGCAAGGCAAGCACTCTGCTACTGAGCCACCTTCCCAGCCCAGTTTACAAGCTTTTTTGATATGTGTGTGTGCTTTGCACAGGCATATGCATGTGCGCAGTGCTGGGGATCAAACCCAGGGCCTCACAGATGCTAAGCAATTGCTCTACCACTGAACTATATCCTCAGCTCCCAAATCAAATTATAGAATAAGTACTTGGGCAAATCACATTGAGTAAACAAATCTGTGTAGTGAGACCCTCTTAAGAGCTCTGATTTTGACCACACAGGACAGATCATGGCTGTCTTTAACACTGCTCGCTTCTTAAAAATATGAATCAATTTTCAAGACTATCTTATTTTCTTCAGAAGCCTTTTGGTTCTTTCTCCCTTTGTCAAGAAGACCTCATTGGTAGTGAGTTGTGGTGATTCCTGTTCTTGGCTTCTACTTCATAGAGTGTCCCAAGGGTCCTGACATCCTGGTGGTCCTGCTGTCTGTGATGGGGGCCATTCTGCTCATCGGTCTTGCTACCCTGCTCATTTGGAAGCTCCTCATCACCATCCATGACCGGAAAGAGTTTGCTAAATTTGAGGAAGAACGAGCCAGAGCAAAATGGGACACGGTAAGAGACTGGGCTGGGCATTTTTCTTAAGTTTCTAGTTTGAGAAGCAGAAGTGGAAGCAGGAGATGCTCAGAGTTGTCAAGCTCTGCCAACACCACAGTTTTCCACTCCTGCTCTAGATATGAGGAGATGGTTTACCTGTCCCATGTCTTCAGGCTTCCTAAAAACTGATTCTCTACGACACAGTGACCCCAGGCCATGTCATAAGTGCTAATTGAATACAAACAGGACACCAATGAGACACTGTGAAGAAGTTTTTTTTTTAAATTTTGTTCTCCAGTTGAAGGAGACAGGATGAACTTACATGGAAAATATAAAATATTCCATAAAGTAGTATTGAAATCCAAAATATTAATGCACAAATGGAAAAAGATATAACAACCAACCTTTACCAAGAACTTACCATGGGCCAAGAACTGTTCTAAATGCTATGTATTAGCTTCTCTCATCCTTTTGTGGGGAGTACTATTATTGTTTCCATTTTGTAGGTAAGGAAACTGAGGGCCTGGAAGTTACCTGGTTGTGGTTTTTGACTTGAGGTTGAACAGAAAGTCAGTTTCCTATAGGGTTAGGAGTTTTAAGTGACTAAATATTTTGAGAAAGAACTTATTTCATTCTTGTTGCATATTTTAAGGTTTTTTCCCCCCTGGACTTTCCAAATAGTCATTTGATTGCCTAAATGTTCATGGTTAGACTAAAATTTTGTTCCCATCTGTTGGTGACCTCAGGGCTTTGTATTCAAGGGTCCCAAAAAACTAGCATGCTTCTGTTAGGACCAGGCATAACACCCGTAGCCTCTTAAGCTTGCAAACATATTTTTAGTTTCTTTTTGGAAGCTTGAACTCAGGGCCTGGGCACTGCCCCTGAGCTTTCTTGCTAAAGTTTAGTGCTCTACACTTGAGTCACAGCTCCACTTATGCATTTTTTTGGTGCTTCATTGGAGATAAGAATCTTGTAGATTTTCCTGTCCAGGCTGGCTTTGAACCATAGTCCTCAGATCTGTGATGTGTCCATTGGCAGCTAAGATTATAGGGATGAACTACCTGCACTTGGCTACTTTGAGTTTCTTGAAGATACCATTAAAGACTAATTGACATGGTGAGATTCATCACTTTTTGTTGGAAAATAAGTTGGAATATTCAGTGAGCCACTTGCCTTTTCCTGGTCACTGGAGAGTTTTGTGGCTATGGATTGAAGAGATGAGGTGAAAACCAATCAAGACTTATGGCAGAAAAACCTGGCTTCTGTGTTCTGACCACCACACTGTTCAGCACTGTTACAATGAAGGAAAAAAAAAAGTGCAAAAGAGGGAGTGCCAGGCAGGGGAAGGTCATGGGGGAGGCTGGTGAAAGCTATCCTGGAATGTTTGGGGTTGCCAAAAGGAAAAAGAAAGTGACAAATTAATTTTATTGTTTTAGAAATAGTAGCAGGGGGCTGGGAAGGTGGCTCAGTGGTAGAGCACTTGCCTTGCATGCATGAGGCCCTGGGTTTGATTCCTCAGCCACAATAAGCAAAAAGAAAACAGCTGGAAGTGGCACTATGGCTCAAGTGGTAGAGCGCTAGCCTTGAGCTGAAGAGCTGAGGGACAGCACTCAGGCCCAGAGTTCAGGCCCCATGAGTGCCCCCCCCGCCAAAAAAAACAAAAACCAAAACAAAGAAATAGTAGCAGGATGTCAATCTACCATGTTTATCCTCCTCCAATTTCTTACCCATTCCTGTTCTAGGAGTAAAAATGTGAGTGAGCTGGTCTCCAGTGGCTCACACTTATAATCCTATCTACTTAGGAGGCTGAGACCTGAGGGTTATCATTCAAAGCCAGCCCAGGCAGGAAAGTCTGATTAAACACCAAAAAGCCAGAAGGGAAGCTGTAACTCAAATGACTCAAGTGGTAGAGTGCTAGCTTTGAGCAGTAAAAGTTCAGGGATGGTGTCTAGGCCCTGAGTTCAAGCCCCAGATTTGGTATACATGTGTGTGTGTGTGTGTGCGCATGCACATACACACACACACACAAACACACACACACATTGTGAGTATGAGAGAGCATTGGCCTATTTCTTTGATGCTGTGTTCCAGAGAAGGGTGCCTTGGGCAAACCTTTAGGCCAAGAAGGGTGAAAGAACTCACTATAAGATGCTTTTCCATTCTTTTTTCAGGCCAACAACCCACTGTATAAAGAAGCCACTTCCACTTTCACCAACATCACCTATCGGGGCGCTTAAAGACAAGAGGTCATCCTCAGATCATTGTCACACTGTGCTAGGATTGTGGGAGTCTCTGCCATCATGTTTACAGAGGACAGTGTTTGTGGAGTGGGATTTGGAGTGGGTGGGCTGGGAGAATGTCAGTTTGTGTGTGTGTGTGTGTGTGTGTGTGTGTGTGTGTGTGCACTGTGCATGGAAAAATGTGTAATTTAAACCTTGTGATGTGTCCATTGGCAGAGCTCTCTTCCCTTGGTCCTGAGAATGCCTCCTTCAGGGATTCTTCCTGCTTAGCTTGAGGGAAACCTATGGAGCTGAGTAGGTCTTGATTACCTCAGTGAGAAGTCAGCTTTCCTTGTCAGAAGAGCAGGGCTGAGGTCTCTCATGCCAGAGGAAGGAGTGCTGAATCTTGGCTCTATCCTGAGTTTATCACTTCATGGTTCATATGCCTGTCTCTCAGTGGCTAATAGCTATGGTAGAAACTTCTGGGCTTTGCAGCCCAGTTGTGTTGTTACCTGTGTCTCTATCTTCTTCCCTTTTCTCAGGCTGCAGGGGGAGAGAGGAGAGATCTGAGCCCTCAGAGCTGTCTGTGTCTATAACCATCACCTCAGTTCAACAATCATGAGAGTTCTCACCTCATGAAAGTCCTTGTCACTGAATTCTTTATCTATTGAAAGAGGGTGGCAGTGCTCCTCAGGGGTGAAGGATGGCCCCCAACCAGTTCCTGATCACAACCCCTCAGATTTGCCTCATTGGCAGCTCTACTCTGGAGGTTGGTTTAGAACTATCATCATCCTTAACTCAGAACCATCGCTTACCTCCTCCTCTCATGCCCTCACTTGTTGCAGACATTTGACATGCACTGGGGATTTCTCTCATGACCAAATGTCTTTCTCCAAGGGAGGGTACAGTGGTTTAGAGTCAGAGGCCTGGCCCTACCCTCTTTTGCCCTTGTCACAGGCAACCCCAGTCACATAACCCTGTGCCTCTAGGAGTTCTATCCACCCACAGGAATAATTGCATTTACCTACCTCTTGGGTATCTTGTGAAGGAGACATTCCCATACGTATGCTGAGTGGAAGTGCCAGGATGGGATGATGGCCAGTGGGACCAGCATATGTGGCCTGTTCTCCGAAGGGCTAAAAAACCTCACTTTAACTCAGTCTTTAATCTTGGAGGCTACAAGTGAAATTTTATTTGATTTTTCTCTTTAGGCTTGCTTCACTGAAAGGAAATATATATTCATATATATATATATATATGTATATATATATATATGGTACTTGCGATAAAGTTGTGTTTTTATTTGATCATGAAGAAAGAAAGCATAAGAGAACTATGCAGACTTGGGCCAAATGCAGATACTTCCATTTGGCATCATTTGTAGTTAACTTGCTGCCCAGTTTCTGGGCCTGTGACAACCCTTCTTCTTCTTGGAAGCCTGTGAGGATGGATATATGGTCATGTTGGACCTTTCTGGAGGAGGACAGACTCTGTTGTTGTTTTTTTTTTTGTCCTAACTCAAGAAGTTGCTTGAATAATGTTGAATTTTAATTTTTGGGGGGGTCCGGTCGTGGGGCCTGAACTCTGGGCCTAGGCACTGTCCCTCAGCTCTTCAGCTCAAGGCTAGCACTCTACCACTTGAGCCACAACACCACTTCCAGCTTTTTTCTTTTTGCTTATGTGGTGCTGAGGAACTGAACCAGGGCCTCATGCATGCAAGGCAAGCACTCTACCACTGAGCCACCTTCCCAGCCCCCTGAATTTTAATTTTTAAAAAACCAATCCCTCACCGCTCAAGAAAAGGGAAAGACCTATAAACAGTGGACTGATGATAAGGAAATTTGAGTACTGGCCTAAGGAATCGTCTTAGGTCAATTTCTTCTCCCTGGAGTTCAGTGTTCTAGGTTGAAATACAATGTGTTTAGACCAGCCAGTCTAGAAGGTCTTTTTCAGTATCAATGTTCCAACATGTTGGGATTTACTGTGGCATCAAACATGGAGTCAAGATTCTGCATGTGTGTGTTTGTGTGTGTGTGTGTGTGTGTGTGTGTGTGTGTGTGTGTAGAGGGGCTGGTGTGCTGGAACATCACACAATGGTAGAGTGCTTGCCCAGAGAGTATGATGCCTTGGGTTTGATTCCCCTGTAGGACAAAGAAGCAAGTAGGGCATTTTGTTATGTTTGTTTTTTCAATTGGGGGTTCTGAGAGACGTGGCTTTGGCAAGAGTAGATGTCATTCCCTTATAACCTTTCTCAATGAGAATATCTTTCTTCCCTTTTCTGGAACCCTCCATCTTTTGTTAGCAGGTACCTCTCTTGATGTAGCACCTCCAGCCCACCCAACCATGACTTCCTAGTCCACTTTTCATATACTTGTACCCACCTATTAGGGAAGATCAACCAACAAGAAGTAGCTGATCAGGTATAGACATTGAGAATAAACTTTGAAATTAGGAATGAAGAAAGTGACTGAACCCTGGTTTGCCTATGGATTCCCACTGCTATAGGAGACAGGACTGTAGCAGAGGGATAAGTGGGGGGAGGGGAAGGATAGAAGTATCCAGGGAGTTTAGAAATAAGTTATAACCTTTGTTTACAGGGTCCATGAGAGTAGTGGTGGGACCATACTAAGATGGTTGCTATGAGCGAATTATATCACAGGAGGAAGATACTGTCTGTATTCAAAAGAAATGTATCCAAAGGATGAAAAAGAATCAATAGGATCTGAGTTTCTGAAGTGGTCTGATATGTCTTGAAGACCAATATTGTCTTGTCAATATGTGGAGCTAAGCAAATAGCTGTCAGTTTTGGCATCATATAGAGTAAACTTCTAGGTAGTATTCTGGCATCAGACAGCACCTGGCACAAAAGGATTGTGGCTAGCTCTTTTAGAGGTAATTCATGTCCATTCTCAGGGTCTGTGAACAACAACGGGAAACTGCACATTGCTGACAGATTGCTGTACAAGAGTCAGTTCTTTACCTCTCAGATATTCCTAGATGGCCCATGAGTTAAGATATTTCTTTTTGTTCAGTATTCCTGGTGGAAATGACTGAGTGCCTTCCTGACTTCCTCACCTCTTCCAATGTTTGAGTTGTGCAACAGTGAATTAAATGTGTTTTCCAAAAAGAATCAGCTGCCTGGTACTTCCTGTGTTATTTCTGTTTCCTTTGAGTGAAAAGTCCTAAGTGTCACTGCCTCACAAATGATTATTTTGAAGTGTGTTCCTAAATATGACAGAAGGATGACTCCTGTGGCGCTTGAACTCAGGGCCTGGGCACTATCCTTAAGCTTTTGTGCTCAAAGATGGTATTCTTCCACTTGAACCATAGCACCACTGCTGGCATTTGAGTGGTATATTGGAGGTAAGAGTCTTATGGACTATTCTTCCCAAGCTGACTTTGAACCACAATCCTCAGATCAGTCTCTTGAGTACAGAGCTATTTTTTTACTTAATATTTTTCAAAACAAGCAGGTTATTACTATTTTAAACTTTTTCTTTTAAAATTGGAAATTATTTAAGAATATATGTAATCTCAACAGACAATCAGCGTAGCCTTCGTTTTATTTGTGGGAATCATAAATAAGTAAAAGCTGAATGGGAATTTCTGTTTCTTTTTAAGTCAGTCTCTCCCTATGTAGTCCAGACTGGCGTTCAACTTGTGATCCTTCTGCCTCAACCTCCTGAGTCCTGGGATTGCAGGTGTATGCCACCATGCTCAGCATGGCAAATTATATACATGTGTTTTACTTAAAGACATTTGATATTTTGGGGTCTTCATAGAGTTGTACTTATACAAACTTAGAAGGTATAGGTCAACAGCCCCAGGTCACTTCTTTTATGGTTTGTTTTTTTTTGCTGGGGTGGGGGTGGGCAGAGGGAGGGCACTGCCCCTGAATTTTATTGCTCAAGGCTAGTGCTGTGCCACTTGAACAAAAGTTCCACTTCCAGCTTTTTGGTGATTAATTGTAGATAAGAGTCTCTTATACTTTCCTGCCTATGCTGGCTTTTATTTGCAATTCTCAAAGCCTCCTGAGTAGTTAAGATTAGAGGCATGAGACACCAGTGCCTGGCTTCATATGACCTCTTGATACAATAAGGACATTTGGTAGACATGAGCTGTATGGTCTGGCTGCCAGTGGATCATGGCATATTGTTTCCTAGTAAACTTTAAAAATATTTATTTATTTTTGCTATGTTGGGAATTGAACTCAGGGACTCATGTATGCTAGGCTAGTACTGTACAACTCTGAGCTACACTCACAGCCCTTTTGTTTTGCATTGTGTGTGTGTGTTCTAGAATCACCCATTAAGCTCTGCTGACAGCATTCTAAGCTTTTTATAGTTAGCTTCTTCAAAGTTTTTTGCATCTCACAGACCATTTCTAAAGGTTTATGAAACTTATGACCAAATTAAGTCACAGTAAAGGCTCCACTTCTTGGCACCAATTTTCTGTATTAATGAACGTTCTCTAGAGGAACAGATTTGTAATTATAAAGGGGGTTTATTAGATTGGCTTCTATAACTGGAGATTGGATAGTACTCTGAGGGCCATTTGTATGCTGGAGAGCCAGAGAACCTAGTTGCCTCCTACTTTAAGAAGCAAGAAGCTACAGAACAAGAGGGACCTCTAATGTGGCCTCAGTCCCAGACTGAGGGTCTGGAAGCTCCCTAGAGAGGTGTTGGTTTGAGTTTATGTTGAAAGGTTGAAGAAGCTGGGTGGGTTGGCATAACCTGTAAATCCCAGCAGTTTAGGAGTCTGAGATAAAAAGATTGCAAATTTGAAGGCAGTCTGGACAACTTAGGTTCTGTCTTAAAATGAAAAAGTAAGGGCTGGGATATAGCTCAGTGGTAGTACTTGCCTTGTATGTATGACTCTGGGTTCAATCTTCAGGTGCTTGTGTGCACATGTGCGCACACACACAAGCTAAAGTAAGCTGTAGTCAGATGTGTATGGGCTACAATAGTAGTGATGGATTCCCATTCTCAGGAAGAATGAAGCTTATATATGCTGACTAGCTTCTTCCTTTTCTCACTTTTGTTATATCCAGGTCCCTTGCCCAATGGATGATGCTACTCACATTCAGGGTGGGTCTTTCCTCTTCAGTTACTGATCCACATGCCAATTTCTCTGGGAATACCCTCACAGACACATCCAGAAAAGTTCTTTTTTTTTTTTTTTGTCGGTCATGGGCCTAAACTCTGGGCCTGGACTCTGTCCCTCAGCTCTTCAGCTCAAGGCTAGCGCTCTACCACTTGAGCCACAGCACCACTTCCCGCTTTTTTTTCTGCTTATGTGGTGCTGAGGAATCGAACCTAGGGCCTCATGCATGCAAGGCAAGCACTCTACCACTGAGCCACCTCCTCAGCCCCAGAAATGTTCTTTAATTTCCTAAGCAACTCTCAGTCCAATCAAGCTGACAATCAAAATTAAGCACCACAACTTTTTTTTTAAGAAAAAGGAAATATATTGATAGGTTTGTACTAGAATTTGCTTTTCCTGACCCTCTTAAGTTAAACCACAGTTATAATCCTTTAACTCTTGGCTTCTTTAGTTTGAACTCTATAGTAACAGAGCCATCTAATGACCATGAAGACCAATTACAAGGATAATTCCTGAAAACCACAGTGATCCAATTTTCACAGAGATACATTTCAATGACAACATGTACTTTGTAAGCAAGCCACTTAAAAACAATTTCTATTTGATTGTGCAATACAACATGTTTCTGGAAATAAACTTTCCTCATTTGTTTGGTTTGACTAAAGTGGGCAACGAGACAGTCTTGGATGCTTATGATTAGGGTTAAGTATATCATTAAATGAACATTTAAAACTCCACTCATTGTGGCTAAAAAAGGAAAATTAAGAACATGATTGCTTTTCTTTTTTTTTTTTGTCGGTCATGGGGCTTGAACTCTGGGCTTGGGTGCTGTCCCTGTGCTCTTCAGCTCAAGGTCAGTGCTCTACTGCTTGAGCCACAGCACCACTTATGGTTTTCTAGTGGTTTATTGGAGATAAGAGTCTCACGGACTTTCTGCCTGGGCTGGCTTTGAACCATGATCCTCAGATCTCAGCCTCCTGAGTAGCTAGGACTATAGGCGTGAGCCACCAGTGCCCGGCTTACAATTGCCTTCCTTGCTTTCTTGGCAACTGCTATGTCAGAATGATGTGACATTAAGCCCTTGTACAGAGGAAACCTCTGTTATTACTGTATATTATTGAA